TTCCCTATGGTCTATAATCCTCTGCTTGATGCTGATGGGAGCATACCATGTGAAAATCCTGATGAGGCTGCTAAGAGCAAGCCATTTCAAAATCCAGAGAGGTATAGGAGACTGATTGGGAAGTTGAATTACCTTACAGTAACCCGTCCTGATATCACCTATCCAGTAAGTGTCCTTAGCCAATTTATGGTTGTGCCAACTGTCCGACAATGGGAAGCCTTAGAGCATGTGTTACACTACTTGAAGGGATCCCCGGGTTGGGGGATATTGTACAAGAATCATGGTCACACAGACATTGAGTGCTTTTGTGATGCTGATCATGGTGGGTCGAAAGCCACGAGACGATCTACTACAAGATACTGTGTTTTTGTAGGAGGCAACTTGGTGTCCTGGAAAAGCAAAAAACAGAATGTAGTGTCACGATCGAGTGCAGAAGCGGAATACATAGCCATGGCGCAATCTGTATGTGAGATAGTTTGGATATACCAGCTACTAAAAGAGGTTGGTCTTAAAACCTCGTTACCAGCAAAGCTGTGGTGTGATAATAAAGCAGCCCTACACATAGCTTTGAATTCGATCTTTCATGAACGAACGAAACATATTGAGATTGACTGTCATTTCGTCCGATACAAGCTCAAGGAAAACTTCATCTCTACAGGACATGTAAGATCCAGCGACCAGTTGGGTGATCTTCTCACCAAAGCTCTCAATGGGGTTCGAGTTGAATATCTTTGTAACAAGTTGGGCATGATTGACATCTATGCTCCAACTTGAGGGGGAGTGTAGAGATATTATAGGAGATATTATAAGATATGTAAATATCCTGTAATTAGTATATAGGATATGATATGATATAATTTTATAGTAATGAGCCATTAATACCTATGCTCCTCTATTGTATATAAATACCCAATCGAAGTATCAATAAAATACACAATTTTCATTCTCTAAATTACAATGAGAAAATGCATCTTAAGTTGTTTGATATAGAAATTTTAGTTTACCATAAAAATTAGTTATCCGGGAGATAAACTTAGACTAGCTAGTACATGGGGTATCCTATAAATTCGTGAAAAAAAGTGTCAGCATATGAGGAAACTACGATTAGGTTTCCTCTTTTTTCCACATGTGGAAACATATATTGTCCAAACCTACTATATCTTATTCCTTTCAATCTCAAAGAAAGCACAACTCAAATCTCAATTGGAGAACATGCCAGCAACCAAATACACATTTAGTTACCATGATTTTTTTCCTCAAAGCTCCAAATCAATTTCGTTGATGTCAAGAAGCAAAACAGGTCTCCTCATGGGCATCAACTAGTAAGAAGATATTTCCTCTGTGAGCATTCTGAGAGTTGCCAAGAAACAAGCTTAACATTGTCAAAGATCTTGCAAAGTAGAAGTTGAAGCTAGAACGAAGGCTTTGAACTTAGAAATGGAGAGAAAATTGGAGAAATGACCTTAAATCTTTGTGTATGGACCATAAATTGAATTGTTTGAGATTTAAAATTGAAGGAAATTATTTTATTTACTAATAGTGGACAAATTAATACTACCAAATCATGCACCTCTTGCCACAACTATAGATATCGATATTTTGAGAATACGCCTTAATAGACAATGGTTAATGGCTTTGACGGGCAATTTTACTAGAATAGGTAATAATGACATCTTTGTTTTAGTGAATGATGAGAAGAATAGGTGGCGTCATTGATCCATAATAAGCTCATCAAACTACTGTCATTTTGTTTTAGAAGTGAAGGAAATTATTTTAGTGAATGCTTGCTCAGTAATGGCATGCATCATCAACTAAAACAGGAGGGTTTGACTCCTTTAATGGGGAAACAAATCACCCGTTCAATTGATGTAACCTAACTCCTAAAAGATTTGATGGATTTTCTCAGAGGAACTAAAACTAGAGGCAAGATCAAAGGCACGTGATTATTAGAGCTAGGGAGAAAAGGAAGAAAATAATCAAAATATTTTAGTATTATAAAACTTAATGAAAGCCTTCATGACACTGAATCCTCTAACTCTACTTGTGGAAAGACAATGATGTCATAATGACACTTCTTGCCTTTTGAAAATACCTAACTGGCCCACAGTGAAAGCTGCTAAGTTAATTTGTCTGCCTGAAAGGTGAATGGCTGGCGTTTAGGTTGGATTTTGGAAGTTTGAACACCATGCATGCCACTTTGGAGAGAACTTCCTCATCACGGCCTTGGAAGAAGATAAGGAAAACTTGGCACTGCTGACTTTAATAGATTAGTTCTATTTTTCCTGTTCTACTTTGTGAAGTAAAAGTCTATTCGCATGGTAAAGTTAGATTGAGAGACCTCATTGCTAGCGAACTTGGTTTTAAGTGCATAGGTTATCACACCCAAAGTTGTTTTAACCTCATGTGAATGCTGATGGAGTGAAATCAAAAGCACTGAAGTTTGTCTGAAGGCTGCGAGACTTCTAGCTTCATTTTAAATGAATTTTTATCTTCCTCTATCTTGCTGGTATTTACGTGCTATAGGAGAGCTTGTCTATTCGAAGTTAACCATTCACATCATCGTTTTCTTTGCTATTGGTTGAATGTAGATTTTTTCTGGTCACTTTTAGAGGTTTGGATAAGAATGCTAATTGCTTAAAGATTTATCAACTTCTGGTTTAATCAACAACAGGAATTGTAAAGAGCTGCTAGAGGCTTACCAACAGGGGAATAGTCACCCGTCAGCTTCAGTCTTCAAGAGCAAGCATATCCAGCAGCCAAGAGGGTATTTTCTGCTGTGGTCGGTGAATGTGTTTCACTTGTGAGAAGTTACCAATATCTCTTTACAAAATATATCCGCTGAAAAAAAAAATTTCTGGTATAACCAAAAGCATAAAGAAAATTCCACCAAAAAATTTATCAAAAGTTATGTTCAGTGAAATAAATAATTCTATCATTTTTCATTAACAACACAAGTTTATAGTCAACAAATGTACTAGTAGCTAGGTAGATACACGTTTCTTCCTGAAAATTATTTGGATATATTTTCATCCCTTTTTTTTTTTGGTAATCTAACATGATAGGCAACATAGTTTGGTTATTTGTCTACCGTTTGTGGTAAAAATAAGAGGAAACATTCCTGTCTGCAAAGTATGGCAAGTGCATGTATCAATTTAACGTTTTGTTACTTGTCAGGTCCTATGCCTGATGATCTTGAGAATGTTGAATTTTTTTAGCCTGGTATGAGGGAATATAGCTAGTTGATGGTAAAGGAACATTGATGAGAACTAGTTATGTTAAATTAATGTAGAATCGTAAGCGTGATTGAAGACATATTAGTTCTTGTGATTGGAGACATATTCACGCAATTTAAAATAAAATTCTTCATATTTTTATAAATCTCTATTAAAAAGTCATTTTTGAAGAATCTTGCCTCCATTTCAGGCAAGTATTTAGTTAGTATTCATTTAGCTTGCTCTATTATCTCAATAAAATATCAATAGCACAGCTCATATTATTTTAATCTTGACTGACATTTACTTAGTTGGCCCTATTATTTTAGTAATGGCACAAATCGTGTAATTTTAATCTTAACTGACATTTACTTATTTTATTATCTCACTAAAATTTCAATAACACAGTTCATATTATTTTAACTGGAATTTTCTTAATTTACTTTGTGTCTGTTTGGTATGGCGATCTAAGTATGGAAAAGTGGCTTTTGAGCTTATAAGCACTTTTTTTTTTTGGCCAAAAAGCTTATAAGCACGTTTGAATTAGCTTTTTACGCATCTAACTTATGGCAAAAAGTTGCTTATAATCGTGCGATTTTGTGAAGTTCTTTCTTACTGTTTTTGACTTTTTTTCATTGTGCTTTTGTGCCAGATTCTCTATCTTCTCCTTTATTTTGTCTTGACATGTTCTTCCCAACTGGTCAATCTCCTCTTATATATACATTGGATATATATATGCCCCTTTTGAAAATTATTTTTTATTTTATATTTACATAAATTGTACACAAATATATCATTTAATTAATTATATAATATTATTTGGTTTAAAAATTTCTATAGATTTCTGATATAAATATATTTTATTTATTAAATTTGACTTTTTCCTATTAAAATAATTAAAAAATTCTTATATTATTTAAATTATTTTTTTATTTAATAAAAATCATATTTATTTTAGTAATTTTACAAAATAAACTTGCTTATTCAATTATAATTCAAACAACTTCTATTTTTTCAAACTAATTTATTTATAAAAGTGAATCCAAATATAAATCATATTAATCAATTTAACTTTTACTCAATCATTTTTTTAAAAGCCAAATTAAAAGTAAATTATTTTTTTTACCATTAACCCAAACAGACCTCTTGTTATCTTGTAAAACTCTTATAACAACTTATCATTTTAAAAAAGTGTTTGGATAAAAATAAAACCATAATTTTAAAAATACTTTTACATTATACAAAATAAATATGTCAAAAAATTGTCTCAATTTGCAAAAACATTTTTTAAAAACACTTTTGCACTCACCCAAACACTAAGTCTCAACCAACACTTAATTGACCTTATCATCTTGGTAAGATTTTAGTAACACGAACTCAAAATTTCAACCTCACCTGATATTTGGATTGGGCATAGTTGCCCCCTTCCTAAATATTCTTTTAGTTTCAAAATTAATACAATTTAAAGATTTAGTACTCTTTGGATTCAATTTCACCAACCAGGTGAAAATATCAGCATATTACATTGCCATTGCACTCCGCTTTTCCACAAAGCATTTAAATAATAAAATTATCCACCTCATAAGTGATAACTGAATATGACAATATCTAGCAAAGCTCCGCACCACAAATGCCACAAGCAGAAATTATTAACCCACATAGGACCCGTCCTGACTCAACTACCAACAAAATTCTCGTACACTACCAGATGTATGTATGATATATCGTTCACACGGATAATAGTTCTACCATTAATTAAAGGTAAAGCCAACACAGAACCAGCAAATCTCAAGGAGAAGCTGATCTGGGAGTAAGAGACCTCGATACTGATCTTGAACTTGCACTCACACTCGGACTTCTTGAGTAGCTTCTATAACGCTTAGAAGAGCCACCTCTCCTGCTGCCTCTTGGCCTGGGAGAAATGCTGCGAGAATAGCTCCTTCGTGAACTCCTCCTTGGTCTTGGGGAAAGACTTGGTGAATAGCCCCTTCTTCGTGCACTCCTCCTTGGCCTAGGGGACAGACTCCGAGAATAGCTCCTTCTTGAGCTCCTCCTCTTCACAGGAGAGACACTGCGAGAATACCTCCTAGAGCCCCTCCTTGGCCTTGGGGAGGCACTTGGGGAAATGGACCTGTAACGGTGCCGTCTGTAGTAGCGATCATCAGGTGAGTCATAAGGAGAGTATGATCTATCACGCCTCCTCACAGGTGACCTGCTGTAAGGGGAATACGATCTGCGTCGTCGGTCATATGGAGAATAGCATCTGTGTCGGTCATAAGGCGAATAGGACCTCCTCCTGCTCCGCTGGCTGTGATACGGAGAGTAAGAATGGCTCCTGCTGCGATCTGAAGAATATGGCGACCGGCTGTAGCTTCTTCTGTAAGGAGAATAACTAGGAGAGCGACGAGGGGAGGAGCTCAAAGAACGGCGGCGACCTGCAAGAAGTTTGTATTGATTTTAATGATGAACGAGCATGTCCAAATAATCATATACAGAAACTAGGAATGAAAGAAAGCACCACATAAGAATGAAGGTAGAACACTTACCCCGAACAGTCCTCAACCCAAGATACCTCCCAGGGGTTGGAGTTCGACCTCTTCGCCTTCTAGCCTGCAACGATTGCAAATAAGGAGCATGAGACCAAGAAACCACAAAATAACTAAAGACTAACCATGGAAAAAGGTAAAAGCAAATAATAAACTATCAGTTAGAAGAGCAATCTTAAAGCTAAACAGATCATAAAACATGAAATTCAATTATACAATTGCGAGAAAAGAAAAAAGAGAGAATGCAGGGCATACAACCCCAATGGCCTGATACTTGTTGATGTGTTTGATTTGTATGTTTAGTTGAGATTTGTAAGTTTGATGAAGAGCTGCTACACACAGCTAACCTGCTGCCACAGAAACTTCACAGGGAAAGAAGCAAACAGCTTTCAAATCTCACAAAAGAACTATAAGCAACTCATCCATATAACTTACGTGCAAACTGAGGGGTATAGAATCAACAATAAACAAGTATGTAAAGAATCAACATTTAAAACTAAAATCAGCGACTGCATGATATACCTTCTCTACTGTGATGACACGCCCTTCAAGCACAGAGCGATTCAGATACTTTATGCATCTATCAGCCTCCTCAACATTTCCATTGTCACAAATCCAAACCCTCGTGATTCTCTTGTCCAAGGATCAACAACTAAATGAACATCAATCACCTATACAAAACAATACAGAAGTAAGAAAATTTACCAGAATTTAAAAAAACAAAATAAATTATTACACACACACGCACACACACATCAAATTTTAAAAAGACGGTGATGACAACAGCAGAAGGAAATAGACATACTCTTCCCTCACTTGCAAAATGCTTCTCCAGCTCTCTCTTAGTAATCCGAGGAGACAAGCCAGTAACATACAAGTTGTTACCAGGATTCTCTGCTTCCCTTGATGGGCTCCTATATCAGAAAAATAAAATTCAACATAAATTTAAGGAAATGATTAACAGAACATAAAGAAATGAAATCAGGAATGCGATAGGGTACCTTGAAAAGCTCCTCGATCTTGACCTAGACAGAGACCTAGAGATAGACCTCCCATATCGCTTGTATGGAGAAGGCGATCGAGAATACCTATTAAATAAACAAGCGATCATAAGAAAAAAAGCTTTCCAAATAACAAAGGAGTCAACAGAGAAGTCAAATTGTATAGACATCTAACCTTGATCTTCTGGAATAAGACATCTGCAACAAAACAAACAGCATAAAGAAGTTAGCACTAAACAAATTTACCAATTAATAAATTGGGACAATGGCTTAACAACATAAAGTGTCACACTCAAATAAGAAACTCCCAACCTCGCATTGAATAAAATCAAACTGATGTGACCAAAAATTAAAACAAAATAAATATAACATCTTTTACCCTCTCTAATCGATCCAGCAGGTCTAGTTCACTATAGGGTGTTTGGATGAAAATGAAACCATAGTTTTAAAAGTGATTTTACAGTATACGAAAAAAATATTGAAAAAAGTACTTTTGAGAAGCATTTTACAGCTTCCCAAACACCCCCCCCAATGCTTATTCAATTATTTGAAATATCGAAAGACCAAATAGCAATTAACTTTACCATCCACCAGAGTTTTCCAATTATCAGTAACAAGATTTGAAAATAAACATATCAAATAACTGATCCGCGCTTAGCTATTCAAAATCGAACTCGCCGTTTCAAAGGTGACTCTAACTTATCAATTTAGTACAGGCTGATAAATTATTCATATTTCGTTTAACATATGAATTGCACCATGTACAAAACCCCCTTCATATTTCTCTCTAGCTAATTTTTCTCTCATGTTTCTTCCATGGGTCCGCTTTTACTGAGATGAAAATTTTCGTTATAGGCTTACAGCCCCCTCCAGTTTTATGGTCATACAACAATTTCGCAAAATCAGAAGCTACTCTCCATTTACATCTCTTGCAAACCTATGTGAAGGCTCGCTTTCACCCGAATTATCAAGGTTCATATAAAAACCTAATAAAAGCGAAGTCACAGCGCACACAGATGTAAAAAGTATCGAACAGTTGCAAATCAAAGAAAACTAAATCCTGAAAACCAACAATAACTAAGATAACCGATGCAAGTGTCTCCGGAAAACACGTGAAATTTATAGCCAAAAAAACATAAAAATTCCCGACAACTAGAAAAGTAATCAACAGGATCGACCATACTCATGAAAGGGTGAGTTTGAAATTGAATTTGAAGCTTACCATATCAGCAAATGTTACGAGATTTCTTTTTTCTATAAAACTTGCTTGGCTGGTGCCGGATCTCCCACGCCCTCGATCTCCCCGGTGCAATATCAAGAACAGGAGCAGAGCACGCGGGAAAGAACGCCTTACATTGGAATATCATCCGAAGAAGCTTCTGGAGGAGCGGACTCCAAGCTTCATTTAAATCTTGTTAAATATTTCGTGGTCGATGAATTTACCTTAACAATAGTCTTGCATTCGCGAAAGATTCTTATTGCTTCCTCATTTTCTTTGGATAGAATTTGCCTTCACAAAAATTTTATATAATATAGACTTGATGCTGTTTGTAACTTCATATCTATAAATAATAGAAAAAATCATATTGAAGGTACTTATACTTTCTTTTAATTTTTAATTTGGTATCTATGTGTTTTTTTTCCTTTAATTAAACATTTAATTTTATCTTTTTAGCAACATTAGCTCTTATAAGTTTGTTCTATTGATATTTTTAATCTCTACATAAGGATTAATGATGTTAATAGAGTAAAATTAAAGATTTAGTTAAGAACAAAAAACACATAGGTACCAAATTAAAAATTGAAAAAAAGTATAAGTACCTCCAACATGATTTTCCCTAAATAATACTAAGCATCACTAAAATAATAATAAGTAATAAAATACAAGTCTTCTTGCACAATTGAAAAAAATTTAACTATTTTATTAATAAACGATTCTCTTACTTCTCACTAGTCTTGGCACCAAAAATAATATCAGCGATCCGATGCATTAGAAATATTGAAGAATTTTTCATACAATTGATTATACTCGTATAGTTATTTTTTAAAATGAGATGCAATAAGTGGTGACTTTCTGCAATTAAGTTTATAATTCTTCATTAATTATGAAGATGTTTTATGTAATTAAAGAGTAAAATAAAAATGTAAGAGACTAGATTGTTTTTGTATATTATTTAAATAAATAAAAAAAAGGCGCCTATCAACAAATATTCGGTTTGCATTATAAATTAAATACAGTTTTGTTAAGATACAAGATTTTATTAGGTTGAGCCAAGAGGACATATGGTTCCAAGAGGAAAGGGTAAAATAGGATTATATTAAGAAGTTTCTTTACCAACGGAAATTAGGTCTAGTGAAAGGGGCCGCTAGACCCTCACAACGTAGCGAATCAAGATTTGAATCCCCATTAAAAAGATGCCCACATTTAATACTCGAAAATATCTTGAATAGGATTGCCTCCAAGCAAAAATAAAAAAAAAAAGTTCTTTCTCTTTTCCCCGTGGTCTTCATTCTACATAAGGCTCTTTTCTTCTAAGATTTTCTGCATGGTTGCTCTTGATCTATACCAGTGCGCCTATATTTATCTAATTTCCCTTATTAATGCAAGCGGAACTTGAAGTTATTTGACAATATATTCAGAAATATTTGGGTTGAGAATTTGCTTGCAAGATAACTATAACAAGCTTCTATCTCATAAACATGGTAATATAGACATTTTAATTTATCATGAAGGATTAGCCACATATCCAAGAATTTTAAATGACAATATTGATCATCTAGAATCAGGCCAAAAAAAAAAAAAACAAAAACAAAAAGATCATCCTAGCAATTAGCGAAACAAGTTTTTCATGGGGAAGCAATCCAGATTCCAGCCCATCCATCAGCTTTGAAATTCAAGTCACTTAAGTTTGGCAATTTTTACACAAGCTACTAGTGAATGGGAGAACAAGACCCAGGAATTATCAGACAAGCTAAACTATTTTGGGCACATCTGGAGACCAGAATGAGGCCTTAAATTTCCATTCAATTTAACAAAAATATATGTATCGTCCAATATAATAATCTCATCTTCTGCCCCTTTGGTCTCCATTGACCCCAGAACATAATGGCAACCAAACCCACATTTTCTGGTGGCTTTTCAAGGTTATTTCTCTTTAGCCATATTTTCTTATCTAACTTTCTCAGATACCTGGGAGATTCAGTGTTTTTGAGATCAGATAACAGCGAAGCTGTCTCAAAATCTAAATGTTGCATTTGAGGGGAGAGTTTACTCTTAGATAAGTCAAACTTATCATATGAAGACTTTTAAATACCAAATAAAATTGTACTAATTTAAAACGAAAATTTAACATGACTGACAAGGAGTACGTGAAGTTTATAGAACCTAATATGAAGGACACGAAGAACAATAGACACAATATAACATGCGAGCAACCTCATAAACTGAGCTTATTAGACCCAAAATAAACTTCTTCCTCTCTACATTTGGCCACCAACATTTAATAGAACGTGAAATTCCCACAACCTAACATAGAAGCTGAGATCTGCAGGATCACCAGATCTTCATTTGGAACTTTCAAATGTCACTCCTGCTAGGTTTGTCTGAATTGAAGCCCACCTGAAACAGATTCAGCCATCCAAGTCAAGTCAGAGCTAGTTTCCAAAAGAAATATATAGATGAAATAGAAATATTGGATCTGTAAGAATACTACATCAGATATATTTAAATAAAGCACATTACCTCGTTTGAAGCAGCTGGAACCCAGTCATTAGTTGCTGGATTGCACTTGCCAGAGGGATGGTGTGTGGTGTCACTATCTGGCTCTATGTGGAAGAATTTGCCATTTTCCCCCATTTTGATGAACCCTGTTCCCGTCTGTGAGCAAACCATATACATCCATTAATCTGTAATCTTTAAGGCCACTGGAAAACTTAATGCCAAGTCCATGTGATGATCATGAGGCAAAAAATTGGTCCGATGACTTGCAACATTAAACAAAACCCAAAAAACGAAAGAGAAAAACAACTTAATATGAGTTGCTGATGCAGTATGAATAATGTTAAGAAGATCGAAACTGAATACCGTATGATGTTGTTTGTCAACGCTGTTAAGATCCTTGTAATACTCTGTTTCCACGAATTCCTCTGTCTCTTGGTTTCCATTGCCGGCCAAATTCTGCATGCGTCATATTATTAGATAACCAAATGCAAGTGAAAGGATACACTTTTAAGATATCCAAGACTAGCTTCTTGTTTTTCTTAGCGAAGTAAAGAGAAAGAAAAATAAGTGTTTCGAACGCAAATAGATAAGATACTTCAATTTTTTCTCAGTCCAGGACTCCAAGTTCAGATCTATATGTCAATAGCAACAGGAGAAATTTTATATGTCATGCACGGTCCCATCAAAAAGCAGATCATAAGAATAACATTGAGATACAAACTTTAAAAATTTACTGTAAAAGTGTTATATATTTATCAAACTTAAATTAAGATTCCATGCCAAAACCCATTCAGATCTATGTCCTACTAAGAGTCTGAGAGTAATACTACGAAGCTGTTTGGATCAGCTTCCAAAATTATACTTTACGAGCTCGCACAGCCCAAGATCACTTCTTTCCGGTTAATTTATATTTCATCCAAACTGGCACTACATGCAGATCAAAGGACTAATCGATAAGCATCCAAGCAAAGGTCTCATCAAGCGTTTGTAGTCCAACGGTTAGGATAATTGCCTTCCAAGCAATAGACCCGGGTTCGACTCCCGGCAAACGCAGAGGTTGTATTTTTACCTTCTATTTTTTCAGTCCCTTCCAAGAAAATTAAGAATCGAGAAAGGAGAAGAGAAGTTTGAGGAACTAACCTGAGAATGAGGAAGATTCTCGAGGCGTTGGAATTGAAGCATCTCAGGAATGGCATCCTTAACGTCGCCGGCAAGATCATCGACGTATTGAGAAGAATAGTCGCTGCGCTGAGGCTTAGTGTGGCGCTTGGGAACGACGCCGTCGAAATACTGCCTAGTCTTCGCCTCGATCTGAGCCTCTTCCTCCGTGGACAGATGAACGTCGCTCCTGTTCGGCCTTCCGCAACACTCCATTCTCTCTCTCCTTCTCCGTTACTTCTTCTGCTAAGAATTGCCGTGGATGATGATCACGTTAATGCGGACTCTTATAAAAGCTTGTGCCAGATATTTTTGGTGCCCACATATTTGGTGTGTACGGGAAATTTCGGATAGCTTTTAACAAATTAAATTTAAATTACTTGTTTTAAATTAAAATGATATATAATTGGATAAATAATTTATCAATAAAAATATAAAAACGTATCACCCATTAATAATTATGATATTAAAACTATAGACTTGTCATTTTACTACTACTATTAATTTTTTTCAAAATCATTTTATTAACTAAATTTGTAATAAAAAATATATTATAAGTTATATTTATAGAAAAATCTTGGCAAAATAATTTTATAGAAAAATGGCCAACCAAGATCAATAATTTGTGCATGATAAATATCTTTAAAAATATGAATAGAGATGTCATTGGTGTCTTTTTTATACAATTATCACCGGTGCCCTAATTGTTTAATTTGATCTTATTTATGTTACCTTGAAGAGAATTTGATAGTAAATTTAGTATATTACTACCTCTAATGATTAATATAAAATCCAGATACTTATTTGAGGAAATTACAAAATAATAAATTCTGATTATAGAATCATTTTAAAAATCAATATGTCGATAGTAGTTTGTAATTGTAAATGCTACTCAGTTCGTCTAAATACATTATTTGTAATGTGAAATCCCAATAATTTGCACCACACAAAGAAAGTGACATAATAACATGCAAAATAGCTAATTAAATGCCGAGAGTGCACCAAATTAATGATTAATTTAGTTTTATATTCTTGGAACGAAAACGTTTTTAAAATTAATTTCATAATTCACAAAAGTAAGAATTTATGGGCCAAAAAAATTCAAAAGTGTCAATTAAATTATGGAGGAGAACTGGTTGATGAATGGATAATTTTCCCACCGAATTGACTTGGACTTTTGTTGAAGAAAATAGTTGTATTTCGTGTAGATATTTAGTTGCAAGAAAATATCTAAGAAATCTTATCCGGTTGTTCTTTGGCAGGCGGGGTAGTTGGGCTCCTTAAATTTCCGTGAAGACTAACCAAGGTAACGTTGCATCACTTGCATGTGTGGGGTTACAAATCCGAGGGCATCAGTGTAATTACAATAACTCTTATCATGAGTGAATAATTGTGGGGCTAGAGATCCAGATGCATTAGAGGGAAGGATATACTCAATACTGCTAATTGCTAATACTATCTCACACCTACTAATTTATTAATTTAAATAAATTAAAAAAATTAGTTAAATTATTTATTTGTAATAAATAAAATTTTTTTTCTTATAATATTTTTACTAATCAAATATGTTAGTTAAAATTATTATTATTATAAGAATTATCTTAAAAAAATAAATAAATATAAAAAATAAAGTGAATTGAAATTTTATATTTAGAATCAGAATAAAATTCTAACGAGAAGAAGTATTTTTTTCCAGTTAATATTTGTTAGGTAAAACCATGAAATACAAAATTCCTTATTAAAAAAAACAGCTCCGTCTATATCCATAATTTAATAAAATCAACCAAATAATTAATTAAATGTGACAAGTGAAAATAGGTAATCTTGGTATAAATTATAACTCTTTAAAATCTTCTAAACAATCATGCAAAAACTCAAATCTTCTTCAGAATCATTGTGGCTGTCACTGTCTGACCTCTTGGAAGATTGGTTTATGCATCACTTTTTGAAAACTCAGGCAGCTCAGAAGTCACAGAATTTTTGCCAACGAGAAATATACAGTGGGGAGTAGCATTTCAGTGGCTATTCGTACAGTTGTTGTCTTGTTGATGATACAATCGAGAATTTTTCCCTTCTCAAATTTTTTTTACTGTCACTGTCACTAACATCATCAGCGTATCATCAACGTATCAAAAGAAAATAAAACCATAATTAAGATATATATATCTTGCGTTATGTAAATTATTTTAAATACTTTTTTAAAAGCGTTTTTTTCGTGATACTTCGCACCATGCCCATGAACAAAATCTTCTTGTTTTGTTGAGAAGGATGTGTTTGGATAGAATCAAAATTATTATTTTAAAAATATTTTTACAGTATATAAAGTAAATATATAGAAGAATTTATTTTGTTTTGCAAAAAGTGCTTTTAAGACCAAACACTCCTTAAATTACATTGGCCATATTTTCTGCAACTTCTAATATTATTGCTGAGAAGGACTCGAAAGCCTTCCCGGGAATATTAGAAGCGTTAAGCATTTGTTTGAGATGTTAAAAAAATCATGCATATTCAATGATATGTGGATTCAAGTCTGCTTTTGTTTTGCGTTGGAAACTGATCACATCTGGAGGATCAACCGGAGAAAGGCAAGGAGAAATTATTGTGTTCGTTGGATAAACTTTACTTTGATCTATAACTCGAACGTGATCAGGATACATGGTGAGACACAGATCAAATCAAATCAACAGGTTGAAGTATGAATAAAGGATGGAGTTTCAACTGGAAAGGGATAGATCAAAATATGAAAATCAGGGATGGGATTATAAATGAATAAATCGAACTCAGTATATATATTATTAATATACACATATACCATGTTCTAAGATAAAATTAAATATCTCTGAAGAGTTTGGCAAAAAAAATCTGTGAAGAGGGGAAAGATCAATTTACTCCCTCCGTTCCTTATTATAAGAGACATTTGATGCTTATGGCATGTTCCTATATATAAGAGACACTTAAAAGTTGTATCTACTTTTTTGTGTTGATTTCCTATCTCACCTATATTTATTGTCTCCAACTCACACTCCCTCCCTCCCTCCCACTTCTCTTTCTTTTAATAATTTAATTGTTCTCTTTCATGCTCTCTCTCCTTATTAATGAGGATATTTTTGAAAAAAATTATACTTTTTATACATTGATTGTTCTTAACTAATTTTAACTTTTTTTTTATCAACGTAATTCGGTTATTCGTCTCTTATAATAAGGAACAGAGGGAGTATTAATGTGAAATTATGAATTAGTATACATAATTTCTGAATTATAAATTTATAATAGATATTGAAGGAGGTCAGGATGAAATATCTTATATCCATCTTTAAATTGTAAAACAATGTCGCCCAAAAAGGAAAAAAAAATCTAGAAAATATAGTCAAAGCTACATTTTTATTTATGTAATGGCGAAAAATGAAATGATTAGCATGCAAGAATAAAAGCCATTCATCATGATTTTTTTTTGGTACAGTGAATTTTTAAATTGATCATGCAAAACATTTAAGAAAGCACAACGCTTAAGAAATTAAAATCCGCAACCAATTAATCAGAAGCCCAAAACAGCCAAACCGAAAGCCCATGGACTACAGGCCTGCTACGTGACCCATTTAATGCAGGCCTGAGGAAAAAAATGAAATGAAAAATTGAGATTATAATAATAATAATTAATCATGAACCAATCATTATACCCCAAAAAGGAAAAAAAAATCAATCATCAATCACTTATACATCTACAAGTTTGGTGGGATGAATAGTACTTCCCTTAAAAGTATAATCCATTAATAGAATGAATATAAAATATAATAAAATTTAAGGGACAAAATATTTGCATATCATTAAAAGTTCCGAAGCAAATTTATTTGACATGATGCTTTTTGGATACGATATGTATGGTAATTCATTTTTTTTTCCCAACTAGTACGGTGTATTCTTTTCTTGGAGAAAATCTGATTTAAAGTAGTGCTGGATGGTAAATATAATTTGTCATGTAATTATTAGAATTTTTTTAAACTACTAGAGCTTGACACATTTCTAAAAAGATGTTTGGCAACCCTTAAAAATACTTCTACAACAAAACGAGACAAACTCTTCTATATATTTATTTCATAAATTATAAAAATATTTTTAAAATTATGATTTAGTTTTTATCTAAATACTCTTTAAATACAATCATCCTTTGTAATGGAAAAAGCGTCAAAAGTAAAGATATTTAGATATGATTGAAAGAATGGCTACAATGGGACCTCACCACCGCCTATCCGTATTCTTTCTAGTTTCTAATAACCAAGTATGTGACGTTGAGATATGACAACCTCTTTTATGTCCCTATCATCTTTCACTTTCCTAACTATAAAACCAAATGACATCCTAGACGACTGATTGGTAGATATTAAAAAAAAAAAGTTAAATTAGTTAAATAACTGATTATGAATATTAAAAATTAGTTAAATTAATTATTTATAGTAAATATATAATATATTTTTAAAAATATTTTTATTAATCATGTGTATTATAACTACTACTATCTCATATCTTTAATATAAGACTTTATTTAATTTTTATTTTGATCTTAAATACAACATCCCAATCTTTTTTGTCTCTCATATTTATATATTTTTTTAAGGTAGTCATTCTAATAATAGTAGTTATACCAATACACTTGATTAGTAAAGATATTTTAGAAAAGATAATATATATTTATTACAAATAACTAACTTAACTTCTTTCCTTAATCTCCTCAAATTAGTTAACTAACTCTTATAATTAAGCTCGGAGATAATATTTGGTAAAAGTTTTAACATGTATATGCAATTGACATAAAAACTATTTTACAAAAAAAAAACACAAGAGTAAAACAAAATACTACTCCCTCCGTTCCTTATTATAAGAGACATTTGATGTTTATGGTATGTTCCTATATATAAGAGACACTTAAAAGTTGTCTCTACTTTTTTGTATTGATTTCCTATTTTACCCATATTTATTGTTTCCAACTCACACTCTCTCTCCTTCCCACTTCTCTTTCTTTTAATAATTTACCATTGTTCTCTCTCATGCTCTCTCTCCTTATTAATGAGGGCATTTTTGAAAAAAAAATTATACTTTTTACACATTAATTGTTCTTAACTAATTTTAACTTTTTTTTTATCAACGTAATTCGGTTATTTGTCTCTTATAATAAGGAACGGAGGGAGTAGTAAATTAGAATCTTATATTAAAATTAAATTAAATGTTCAAATAATTAAAGTATCAGAGGTGGTATATAGACATCGAATTACAGTTTTGAGGCATTGCGTTTACGAGCCGAGCTTTATCAAAACAAGCAGCCAATTAATTAAGTAGCTTCCGTCTTTCATGCCCCGAGTAAGTAGTAAATGATGCGCCTCGCTATCTTAAACCATATGTGTGTCTTCCTTATCCTGCGCACCCTTAATTTATTGTCAGCTTCGCAGTTCGCACCCTGGCTCATCAAGCTGTTTCCGTCTTTCCCACACACACACCAAGATCCCGTTTCGATTTCGAAGAAAAGAGCACGGCAAAAAAAAAGTTAAAATAGGTTAAAATTAATAAACAAAGTTAAAAATATCGGTTCTGTTTGATAACATACCAGTAAAAATCCCCTATAAACATATTTAATACAAGTTGAGATAAATTTTTTTTTATATATTTACTTTGTATTTCATAATTTACTATTAAAAATTAATTTATAAATTACTTATAAACTGTTTCAAACGGGTTTATAATTTTACTTTTAAATATGTTTTTATAATAAATAAAAAAGATAAAAGATATAAAAGAAAATCTAATAACATAGAGTATGATAAAGAAAAGAGAATAAATAATTAATAAAAAAATTAAAAAAATATTAAATATTAAACAAATCTCAAATTGAAATTTATAAAATGAATCACACTATTTTTCAAATTAAAACTTATAAATAAAATCAAAAAGAGTAATTAAGATTCGTATGATTAAAACAAATTTTGAAATTTGAGTTGAATAAAATGAATTAAAGTGTAATTAATTTATAATTAATTTTGAGTATAATTAAAAAATGAGCAATAATTATTTACGAGATAAGTTAAAATTGATTTTAACTTTAGTAGGAATATTTGGATTGAATCGTATTGTACGGAAATCATAATTCTAAATCGTAAAATTGATTTTAAAGTACATCCAAATAAGCAATAAATTAAAATTTTAATTCATTATTAAAAGAGTTTATTTTTAATTCATGTGAAAGTAAGTGGTCCAGCTCATCCATCGTCATTTCTGATCTTCTTCCATTCTATTCTGTGTCTGCCTTGCTCTCTTCCCCTTCTTCTTCTCCTTCTTCTTCTTAGTGACTGAGACCAATGACGAGGAAGGTCTCCAATTTCTCGGATCTGATCCAACGGGTCACCGCGTCTTGCTTGCTCCACCCTCTCGCCGATACCCGCTACGACTCTTCCTGTGAGAAGGACGATAAGTTCCTCTACGAATCTGAACCCAACAAGGACGCCGATGATGATGAGGAAGACGAAGAGGACGGCGAAGAAGATGAAGAAGACGAAATCGACGACTATGACGAAGGAAAGATGGTCAGTCTCAAGGCATTGGGGGAGAAGAAGGTCAAGCAGATGGAGTCGCTATTGGAGGAGGTGTTCGAAGCCGTATCGACGATGAAGAGAGCGTATGTGAGCTTGCAGGGGGCACATTGCCCGTGGGACCCGGAGAAGATGAGGGTTGCTGACGTGGCGGTGGTGGCGGAGCTGCGGAAGCTCGGGGTGCTTCGTGAGAAGTTCCGGCGGCGGCAGGGAGTCGACGATAAGGGTAGGAGGAGGAAAGTACGGCGGAGGCCGACGGCATCTCTGAAGGAGGTGGTGGCGCCGTACGAGGCGGTGGTGGAGGAGCTAAAAAGAGAAGTGAAGGCTAAGGATTTAGAGGTTCATAGTCTGAAAGAGAAGCTCGATAATGTGGTTACTCTCTCGAGCAATGGTGGTGGAGGTAATGGAAAGAAGGTTGGGAGATCTCAGTCTAGAAGGAAGCTTGGAATCAGTCAGATCCAAGGTAAATAAACAAATAGAAAATTGGCTTTCTTGGGAAGGTTTTTTGTTTGGCTAGTAAGAAAATTCATAGGAAAGTTTTTGGATTCTGCTGTTCTCTTTGTAGCTTTCAAATGCATTATTCGTTACCACTTCAACCCTTCGAGGACTAATTTTCTTTTAGATTGATGCAAATTCGAGAATACAAAGAGTTAGTTGGTAGAATTTTTGGCTTGCTTCAGAGGGAAGTTTCAAAATTCAGGAGTGAAAAACATTTTATTATGCTTGGCGTCGTATTACTGGTTCAACATTTTCATGACGTTAACAAAGTATTTCTGATATTAACTTGCATACTGAAAATGAGTAATACAGTTGATAAAAATAGCGTACAAAGCAAGGTCCCTTTTATTTTAGAACAACTTTTGATTTAGAAACTTTGTTAGGCTAGCCTGAATATTCAGAAAAGTTTCAAGATTCTTTTGCTCCTTTGTTCTTTTGATTCAAGAATTAAATATTTCAAAAACATGCTTTGTCTTAATATTCTAAAGAATATTTACATCAATCTGTAGAATTCAACTCTAGAATTAAAATTGCTTCCTGAATATTGAAATCTGAGCCTTTTTGCAGCAATTGCAGCAGCCCCATCTCCAGAACTCTTTGAAACAGCGATGTTGCAAGTAAGAGAAGCATCGAAGTCCTTCACATCTCTTCTACTCTCTCTAATGCACAATGCACACTGGGATATTACAGCTGCTGTCCGATCCATTGAATCAGCCACAGCTACTGCCACTGCCACTAAAGACAATTACAATCCCTCAGCCATCACCATTGCCGGCTCCATTGTCTCAGCTCACCATGCGAAGTATGCTCTAGAATCGTATATTTCCCGGAAATTCTTCCAAGGTTTCGACCACGAAACTTTCTACATGGATGGAAGTCTCTCCTCCCTCCTCAACCCAGATCAATTCCGGCGCGATTGCTTCACGCAGTATCATGACATGAAGTCTATGGATCCTACTGAGCTCCTTGGGATCTTACCATCATGTCACTTTGGCAAATTCTGCTCCCAGAAGTACCTTGCCATTGTTCACCCCAAGATGGAGGAGTCTTTGTTTGGGAATTTGGAGCAACACCGGCAGGTATCAACTGGGAGCCATCCCAGGAGTCAGTTTTATAATGAGTTCTTAGGGGTGGCCAAGGCTGTTTGGTTGCTTCATTTGCTCGCATTCTCACTCAACCCTGCACCAAGTCAGTTTGAGGCAAGTCGTGGTGCCGAATTTCATCCACAGTATATGGAGAGCGTGGTGAGATTTTCCGGCGGGCGAGTGCCGGCTGGTCAGATCGTGGGCTTCCCAGTTAGCCCGGGATTTAAGCTTGGAAATGGATCTGTGGTCAAGGCTAGAGTCTATTTGATTGCTAGAGCATGAGGTCTTCTATGTAGGAATCGTGTTTCACGAGCTAATGAAATGATAAAGATATCTGCCTTATAGGGTTGCTAGATTGCTTATGTAATACCAGAACCATGAGGTTATGTTACTGATTTAACGGTGAATTAACTTAAAACTGCTCAGCCATGGCATCTGATTTTGAATCTAATTAATAAAGAGGCTATGAAGTAGTTGTTCCTGAAAATTGTCATAGCGCGCCAATGCTTTTCTGAGGTTCATTGGACAAGGCGCGCAATTTTATTAACATGTCAATGGTCAAGAAGTGAAACCTATACAAAGAGACTTGATATATTTACACGTTTCTATATGATTAGTGTAACTCATTTACTTTGTATTGATTCTGATACTTTATATAAGAACTAGTTTAATATTTAATTTGGTTCTAGATATAAGATATTAATTTATTTTATCTCTCATATTTATCAATCATTCTTAAGATAGTTTTTATAGGAGTTGTACATGTTAAATGTTTCATCAAATAATAATTCTAGTCAATGCACATGATTAGTAGGGATATTTTTGAAAAAATAACACCTACTCCTCTGGTTTTTAATATAGGACTCAATTATTGGGTTGGTTTTTATTATAAATATATGACCTATTTTTTACATTTATCAATTTTCTCTAAATTACCCCTATAGATACTTTTTCAACCATAATCAAGTAGAAGAGGAAAATGGGGTATTAAGAAAGATGATTATGGTATTTTGGAAAAAACGTGTCACATTTCTTATAATTAACTAACTTACGTAACTTCCTTAATTTAATCAAATTAGTTAAATAGGTCTTATATTAAGGACCGGAGGAGTATTTATTACAAATAACTATTTAACTAATTTTTTTTAATCTACTCAAATTAATCAACTAGTTCTTATATTAATTGTGAAAAGCAGTATAAAATAACAAAAAAATTCATTATTGTGTTCGAAGTAAAAAGGCTATGCGACTTCAAAGAAATAAAAATATTAGATTTAGTCTAAAGGCGGCTAGATCTCTCGGTGAGCAAACCTATCCTATCGGCACTGTCAATGGGGATTGTAGAGATTTTGCCAGCTACTTCCAGAAAGGATTACAATCCTTAATATAAGATCTTATTTGATTTTTATTTTAATCTTAAATATAAGATCTCAATTTATTTTATCTATCATATTTATTCAATTTTTTTCAATATAGTCCTTTTAATAATTATAGTTCTAATCAATACGCTTGATTAGCAAAGATATTTTAGAAAAGACAACACATATTTAGGACAAACAACTAACTCAACTTATTTTCTTAATCTCCTCAAATTAATCAACTGGCTCTTATAATTAAGACCGGAAGTAGTATATTTGATATATATACGTGCAAGGAGCAAATAAACAAATATGGGAGCAACCAGTGGCCTAGTACTACGAGCACAAGTTCTGCCGTGCCTAGTGTTATGGTACATGCATACGAAGTTATTAATTGATTTGAAACTGCTCAATCATTTGCTTTTATGAATATTTTAAAAGCATCAATGTTTTCTCACAAGAAAATAAGCCATGCGACCATGGCTTAATGTCGTAGTTTAACTGTCTCAGGCTTTCAGGTCTCAGTCACAGTAAGCAAACGTACGCCGGCCGCACCATCAATGATGAAGAAGGTGAATGCATAATGAGCACTAAATGAATAACAACTTTTATTATTTCATACAGATACAGGGCTAGGGGAATTTTAAAAAAAAAAACGAAGAAAGAAAAAAATACAGGCTTTGATGTTGTTTGTCTACGCAACACATTGGTGGATTAAGTAGCTTCTTCCTCAGAAAAAAGAAAAAAAAAAATAATACACCAGACCTCTGATACATGAACCTGAATTCTCTACAGTTGTTGAACAAACCACTGAGGAAAGAGAGGCTTCCGTGCCAACTGAGAAAGTTGGCCCAAATATAAGTATGATTGGCTGTCTCTTCGATGTTTAAGAATACGTAAACCTTGATGCCGAATGGCAAAAACAAATATTTGAAACAAAAATAATAGGCTGCCTTCGCCCAACAATTTGTTGAGGACCATACGAAGGAGTACACTTTGTCTGCTTAGTGAATCTCAGAATCATTAGCAGTAGCTATGACGGTCCCCTGAAAAATCTCTTGGCCTGCATACATGGAGTGAATATTGAGAACTTTCAAAACTGACAAGAAGCAAGAATCATGCAGTCAAAGACATTTATTTACTCCTAGTATGATATCATGTAAAAGCAAGTTGAATCCACAGAGTAAAGAGCATTCTTTTACGTCTTTTTAGGCCCCCACAGTTTTTGGCCAAATAGGCCACCAGCAGTTAGTTATTATCGCCAAGGAAGGGGGAGGGGGGGGGGGGAGAGAATTTTGTATTGAAGCCCATAAGAATCTGACTTCATCACCAACAAGCTTCAGTCTAGAGATGGAGCATAACTTGGCTGAAAGACACAGTGCTGCAGGTTCCAGCTAGCAGCTTTACTTTATTTGGATGTGATCAAGGTGAAAAACAAGATTCCTAAAGGCATTTTCTCACGAGTAAATAAATTTGAGTTTACTAACAGTAAATGGGTGTTAAATACAGATAGGTCTTCCAAATTTTATCTAATATTAATAGGTCCTAATGAATTTAATATTTACAAATTTAATTTGCAAATGATGCGACTCGACTCGCAAATATCAAATTTCTTGTGATCAATTAGTATTAAATAAAATTCGGAGAACCTGTTTGTATTATATTTTCTACATGGAACCTATGGGTAATTTTTTCCCATAAAAGGGTTGAATAGTCCAAAACATTCCGACCTGCTCTTTATAAGTTGAGTACCTGAGCCTAAATAAACATGTAGCCCCTTTGAGGGATTTGGATCCTCTAAAATTAGAAGATTATAACGTATCTTTTTTTTTTTGGGGGGGGGGGGGGCGTGGATAGAAAGGAAGTGGGCAAACACACTCCTTGTGTTGTTCTGTTTCTCACTTCAGATGGTCCCTATTATTTTTAAGTAAGCAATTCCTAGATTATGTATAAGATAGAGGATGAATTAGAATATTAGATAGCTACAAGGCATTCCAAGAGACCCTTCGGTTAGAGAAGTTTCAAGACGCAATACAGTTTCTAGATTTACATAACACCAAACAGTCACCATTGTAAATACAAATAACTTACTTGCTCAAGAGTTAAAAACATAACCACGTTCCAGAGCCCCACCCGAGCAAAATTAGGAAAGAAACCCTTATAGAAAGCCAAAAATCCCTGCAATAGATTTGTGCCATGAGTTCAGATTGGTCAGTGGAATAGATAACTTCCACAGAATCCACACACTAACTTCTTAATCAAGGCAGCAAAGCTAGAAGCGATGAGGAAAAATTATGTTCGGACTCCTCAAAGTGAGTGCTACAAATAGTAATTATTCTGGCATTCACGGGTTTAAAGATTTCTAGGTGCCAGTACAAGTACAATAAAATAATATTGAACCCAGTTGTCTCAAAGTATTTCACTGACCTCGGTAAACAGTGTCTTGAGAAAGCAGTCAAGCGTGTTTCTGTATGTTGAATCTCCCATCATTCTTGATTTTACCTAGAATATCATAAGCATTGACAAATCATCATCTATCATATTAGAAGTGAGATACAGTTCATTAATATGATAAGATAACAATTTTCATTCAAAACCGTTATCGAGACACCTCAATGTAGCCTGCAAATGGATCTTGGGATAATGCTTGAAGTACAAAAATAGGACAGTGCTAAAAATTAACTAAACTCAAGACCATGGGAATATGAAAAATATAACATAGAAGGCTAACATACATTTTATTCCAATTTTGATTTGCCTTTTCTCCTGTCTCGTTTGGTTATAAATAGAAATGTCATTAAGATGGTAACCTTAAATGCAAGTGGAGAAAGAAGGGATTTGTTTTAGGAGGCTGGGGAAGCACATACCACATCCACAGGGGAACCGATGAAGACAGCAAAAAGACCTGCACCTAAGCCAGCTAGGAGGTGAGAGAAGACGTTGTCTGTGAACCCTGGAATTGTCAAAATTGTCTGCATAAGTGTGAAGAATCAGAGCAGCATTGCGATTAACATTTTTCGTAAAGCTACACCTACAAAATTATAGCACAAAACTTGAACTCACTATAATGGGATTACCCGTTTCACTTTATCGTAACTAGCTAGTTCAGCAGCATTTATAATTGCATTCCGTGCTATATTAGGCCCGAGCCCAGTCCACAAAGCCCCTAATCCTTCCTAATTTAACAAAGAAAAAGGGATATCATACACATTAAAAATATGCTTATATCTTCAAATATAGAAAAGGGAAAAAAACAAAATTAATCACCAGAATGTCCGACCTGTCTCATTATAGTAAAATAAGCATCCATAGAACCAGAATAACGCCTAGGCACCCCGATTGGTAACTGTCCTTCAGATTGAAGTCTTACTTTGACTAGATCAGTTGGGTTAGCAACCATGATTCCCAGAGCACCTGTTTCAAGTTAAAAGGTGATCATAATCTATGGTGCATGGTCTTTGGTGTGGTATAAAGAGGAAAAATAACTGTTTCAAAGCTTTCACACTGAGTTGTCATTTATATTAATAATTCTCTTGGTTCCCAAGTATGCAGATGGCTCTGAAAGGCGTCACATGTGCTGATGAAATTGTGTGAATTGATAAAATTTTAAGAAAGAGAACTGTTCCAAGAGGACTCACCAGTCAACATAGCAGCAAGTATCATTTGGTATAAAGGAATCTCTCCAACGAATGCACTACCAACAAGAAATGTTTTGACCTGTCCATTGTGCAGTTTATATGTACAAACCCATGTTCCCCAACGACTTAGTCATATTCATAAAAGGAAGATGTTTATACTCACTGGATCATATAACCCAATTCTTAAGCCTCCATACACAAACTGGCGATGTAAACCAGGAATAATGCCTTTCCACAGAGCTAATAAGCCTTCTTCTCTAGCAATAGTTTTAACTGTGCCCAGCAAGCCCCTATATTTAGGTATTCCCGTTCCGTCACCTGTTGCAGCTTTCTTTTGGAGTTGAAGCCTAACCTTAGCTGTGTCAAGAGGAATAGTACAGAACTGCACAAAATCCAAGCAGAAACAAAATATTATAACTACCAACCATGAGGGCAACAAAATGCATTTGCTGCGACATACTTCGGCTACACAGACATGAAGATATCATCAACACCACCAAATATGTAAACAAGAGCAGAAAGGACGCATGTAAACACGTATAGAAGATAATGACTGTCTTCCACCTTAATTGGCTCGTCCAGTATGAACCAAGAAATATTTATGGGGATAAAAAATTTCTACGATTTGCAACTTCATTTAAAAGCTAGAAACCAGTTACTGACTTCCACTCATTTGTTGGGACTTAGGAATCCTTCCAGTGTTTTCATACTATACACTTCTGTTAGCGCTCATTTAGAAGTATTCAGTGATTAAATAATTCCTTTCCTCTTCATTATGGATATGTTCATATAGCATAAAAAGGAATGCAATACTTTAATTGAGTGAACTTGCATTCATAGATTTCTTTTCACTAAACTGAATAATATTTACACAATTCATTGCTCAGAATAAGAAGCTTTTTAATTTAAAGGAATGTCAAGGTATTATGAGTATCTTCAATTGGCATAGTTCTAAGTCCCCCCCCCCCCGGGGCCAAGTTTTCTAATTATGCAAAACAACATATTTTATTAATATCTAAATTAATAATTATGTACTTACTCTGATGTGTACGTCTCGTAGATAGAAATTTCCCATTTTAAGGACAGGTCGAGATCAGAAACGTTTGGTTCAGTCTGACATTGACGTATGCGGATTACTTGTTCATGTTCACAATTTCGATAAAACCATACTTTTCCCTCTCGTTTCAACGAAATTGACTAAAAACAGTTCAACAGTCAGCTCTGAGCTCATCTAACAGCTCTCACAACTCATGCGAATCAGTTCAACTACTGATCTCTACTGAAGAGACTACATTTGCGAGCAGACCAATAAACACACAAAAATTCACAACAACACAACTAGATTGGAAGTTACCTCGGCTAAACAAGCAGCAAAAGCACTGCATAAGAAGGCCTGGGAGAACGAGATCTGGGTTCCGGAATTGAGATCTGGCATTGTACCCCGAGGAGAGAAATCAGGAAGAAGGATGATGAATTGTGAAGACGAAAGGAATACTTGAGCGCGTTAAATATGGAGGTTAGGTTTTGTTCGATGTGATGGCATTAATTAAATAATAAATATGAGAGTGAAGTGACAGAAACCATATCATTCCATCCAAGATCAATGGAGGCTCTCTGGTTTGCCGATCGGTGTTTCGCGGCATCCACATCCAGTAGTCATCGTTCGTCCCCGCTATTTTGAAATTACTGTCGCAGTTATTAGAATCTTTCATAACAAAAATCTGTTTTTTTTTAAATAAATATTTACACTTTTTGAAAACTACATGACTAGTTCATAGTAATGAGTTAGCTTGGATGAGCATTTACAGTACTTTACCATTTTATTAGTGAATGCTTGTGGTTTTATTGGTATATGATTCCACAGAAATGTGTTTAACGATACCCAGGCTTTCAGTAAATGAAAGATGTGACATAATTGCCATGAGAAATAAATCCATGAAAAAAAAAACATTTATTTACGAAGTACTCTTCCGGTCCTTAATATAGGACCCAATTCTTGAGTTGGTTTTGATCCTAATTATAAGACCCATTTCTCATATTTATCAATTTTCTCTAAATTACCCCTATAAATACTCCCTTAACTATAATCAAGTAGAAGAGGGAGATGAGGTATTAAGAAACATTATTATGGTGTTTTAGGAAAAATGTGTTACTTTTCTTATAATTAACTAACTTACCTAACTTCCTTAATCTAATCAAATTAGTTAAATGGGTCTTATATTAAGGACCGGAGGAGTATATAATTACATTGATTTGTTTCTAGATAAATAATTACTATAATTGATAAATCATTAATTATTTTCCTTGATCAGATTAACTTTTTGAGAGATGAATGCCACGGAATCGGTTTATTTTTTTCCCCAAAGAAATGGTCATTTTCGTATTAATTTTTTTAGTCTGACATTAACACTATTACCATATATTTACCAAATTATAATTGGGTACCATGAAAGGGATTTGATATCTTAATAATTTTTTTTGTTACACATAAATGCTTTTTAATTAGAGGTGATATTATTCAAAATACTCCCAAATATTAAATATGGATACTTTATTTTAATAAAAACTCAAACTTTGATTTATGACGTTACGGAGAAAACTAGTAATTCAAATATTTCCATTGAGATGTTTAATTTACCCGATGAACGGGCAGGCATAATCTTAATGAGCCCATAGGTTTCAAGAGTGAAGTCGGACACTGGGCCAAGCCCAAACTTTAATCCTGCTGGGCCCAAGGATGAATATATAAGTTAGGATGCTATTTTCTCTTTTACAGGCACTAATTTACTTCGTGATATCAGTTTTTTTCACGCATCATAAATTTGTAAGAATTCAATATTATATTTGATTTAAAAATTTAAATCAATTTTTAAGTTAGAATTTTGTTAAAAAATGCAAGTCTTTCCCGGAAATAATAAAAAATTATATGTGTTTTTCAAAGTATCCATGAAAAAATTTGAAGCAATATTTCCGTAATTATTACAAAGGCAAAAATTTCATTTCGTGGGCGCCAAAAAAAAAATTTTCAAGGGACACGAAGCGCAATGTCTCATGAAGAGTTCGCTCCAAAACTCTGGCGGGAATTCCATAATTCACCCAATCCCGCCAATCGAATCTAGAATCTTCCTGTATATAAACCCTTGGTTTCCCTCCATTGCTATTTCCCACCATTTCTCTGAGAAAATTGAAATCAAACCCTAACCCTATAGGCGATACTTTCCGAAGTAGAAGATGTTGGAACTCCGTCTCGTTCAAGGTTCGCTTCTGAAGAAGGTGTTGGAGGCGATCAAAGATCTAGTCAACGATGCTAACTTCGATTGTTCAGCCAGTGGGTTCTCGCTCCAGGCCATGGATTCCAGCCATGTCGCCCTCGTTGCTTTGCTCCTCAGGTCGGAGGGCTTTGAGCACTATCGTTGCGACCGCAACCTCTCCATGGGCATGAACCTCAACAACATGTCTAAGATGCTAAAATGCGCCGGCAACGATGACATCATCACCATTAAGGCCGATGATGGAAGTGATACTGTCACATTTATGTTTGAAAGTCCAAGTACGTTTGATATTCCTAGAACAATCTCTTGGTTTTCTTGTTTATCTTTAATCTCTTGTGGTTGAATGCTTGATCTGCTTTCTAGCGTGCGCATTGTCTTGTCAATTTATACTTGAGTGTTTCTCTTTCTACACCTAGTTCGTTATTTTCCTGCTGGCTTATCCAAAACACGTTTTATTTTGTTCTGCTCGAATCAATTGACGGGTCAGTTAGATTTAGTTGTGCAGGTAGTCAGACAAATCCTGTTAGGTCTAATTCATTCTGTTATTAGAAGTTTCATTGTCTATGTATGTCAGTTCTGTCGTCACGATACCTTCGATGAAAGATCTCATTACTGTCTTGCATGTTCTTTAATGTTTTGTTCTATGAACATAATGGCGGCTGAGGAGTAGAAATGCTTAATGAAGTTTTAAAGACCTTCATTGGTATATAGCCTGAAAGAATATGGTGGTGGACTGGTGGGCTTTCTTTCTTTCTTTCTTTGAACAATAATGGTGAATGAGGGGTAGAAATGCTTATTCTTTCTTTCTTGGAACAATGATGGTGACTGAGTAGAAATGCTTAGTCTCATTGTTTCATTGACGTTTAGATGACCTGAGTTATGTGTCAGTATCTGTTTTAATTTTTTTTTAAACAGCTTTTACTAAATTTTATGTTTTCTTTGGCATATGGCTTACAGCACAGGATAAGATTTCTGATTTTGAGATGAAGCTGATGGACATTGACAGCGAACACCTTGGAATTCCCGAGGCTGAATATCATGCAATTGTTCGGATGCCTTCAGCAGAGTTTGCTAGGATTTGCAAGGATCTAAGCAGTATCGGTGATACAGGTAATTGTATAATGAATTTCTCACACTTCACAATTTACTTTAAACTTTAGCCAATTATTGAGAATCTTGTGATGTGTTGTAGTTGTAATTTCGGTTACTAAAGAAGGAGTAAAGTTTTCCACCAGGGGAGACATTGGAACTGCAAATATAGTATGTAGGCAGAACACTACCGTGGACAAGGTAAGATGGTGTCACACTGATCCTTTTACAAACAGTAATGTGTAATTTTATATATTTTTTCTTTTAATTCCCTTCGTCTACTCTAAATTGATTAATTCTAACATTTTTATGTGCCTTTTTCTATGGTTTAATATTACAGCCTGAGGAAGCGACTGTTATAGAGATGAATGAGCCTGTATCGTTGACATTTGCTCTAAGGTACATGAACTCATTTACAAAGGCGACCCCATTGTCTAACACAGTGACTATCAGCCTGTCAAATGATTTGCCAGTTGTGGTTGAGTACAAGATTGCTGAGATGGGTTATGTCCGTTTCTATTTGGCCCCTAAGATAGAAGAGGACGAAGAAGAGACCAAGCCTGAAGCTTAGATTTTGATTTGGTTTGTGAGATCTTTAATTGTTTTAGGAATTAATGTATTGTACACTTGTGGGCTGGAAGAGTAGTTAAAATTTCATATATGGAGCATTCTTCCTTTCCCACCTCTTGGTTTCTGTGTATCAGACCACTTTAAACAGGGAATCTGTTCTTTTCATACTTAAATTCAAAGTGGCTCCTGTTTTGTAGCAAGTTTGCTCTTTGGCACGGTAATTGAAAGTAGCTGCCGATATTGAAACTTACTAGTTCACTTAAAATTGCAAGTCTTCTCTTCTGAAAGCATGGAGAGCAATTTACTATTAATCGCGTTCAAGTGGTGTTTTGGCATTCGGTATTTCCAATTACGTGATTGTCGTTCGATTTCTAAACATGAAAAAGAAAGGAAGGAATAGGAATATGATCATTTTACTCATCGAATTCGAATTTTAATACGAAATCAATTTTTTTTTTTTAAAAAAAAAGAAGGTAAGATGATTAATCAGTTGCCTATAAAGTCCTTGTTGATTATGTTTTTCTTGTGCAGCCTCAACTATTATCGGTTTCCAGCAGGGGGACGTGCCATTTATTATTGACCAAAAAATAAAAAGAACGTCCTTTTATTTTCTCTGGCTATGCCTATTATCCGACAAACGGTGTCTTCCGATGTCGCCCAAAAATCGTCCGTCTTACCCCAACACCTAAAACAGACCAATCGAATTGCCTGGGACAAAATATTAGTTATGATATACTGCCTCCGGTCTTTAATATAAAATCCTGTTTGAATTTTATTTTGGTCTTAAATATAAGACTCAATCCACTTTATCTCTCATATTTATCCACTTTTTTCAAGATAGTCCTTCTAATTCTAGATAATAAACTTGATTAGCAAAGATATTTTAAAAAAAAACAACACATATTCATTACAAATAACTAACTTAACTAATTTTTTTAATCTCTCTAAATTAGTCAATTGGGTTTTATAATTAAAACCGGAGTAGTTTATTCATATATGTTGAACGCGAAGATTTGGAAGTTCTTTTGAGCTGGTAAAACGCCCAAGGTTGTCACTTGGATTAGTCTGGGAAAATAGGAATTTTGGAGTGCCACTTCTAATTTTCATGAAGCAACATTCTCAAAGCAGTAAATATTTTTGAATTCAAAAACTCATTGCATGGGCAACTTGATCTCCACAAAACTATGGCGTCTTTAAATTCACTCACAATTCTAATACTTATGGCTCATGACTGTGATTTTCTTAGCTGATTCTCATGAAAGCTGGAGGACGCTTAATTATACTAGTTTTCAGGGTGGCTGGGGTGGTGCAGTACTAACACAGGAGTCAGGACCCCGCGGGAAAAAACTGGGCCCAGGTCCACAAAAGAACGAATGTTAATAAAGCCCAATTTCTTGATTATTTGGGCCCCAATCCATAATTATCAATACGCCAAGTTAACCAACAGGAATTAAGTCTAGCGGAAGGAATTAGTTTCTTACAACGTGGCTAACCAAGATTTGAATTTCCATTGGAAGAAGTGCCCACATTTATTACTTGACAATGTCTCGAATAAGATTATTTCTAATAGGAGGATACCTATACTTTAGCAAAAAAAAAAAAAAAAACACCGAGTTATTTCTTCTGTTACAACAATAAAGTTAATTATAATTTCATGTGTGTTGTGTAGGTTTAATTTTCCCTTTCCTTTTTTTACCCCCATGTAAGGCCTTATTCTGTTGTTTAAAACAAATTCATTGCGATCACCATGTGAAAACTTTGATATCCTTATCTCCGGATGGATTTTCATCTTTGTCTACCTTCATTAATAGTAATACTGAAATTGGGTGAGAATTAATTAAATGTTACGGTAATTTAGAGTTGTATGGTTTCCGCTTTTGTTGGTGATTTTTTATGAATTTAGATGTTTTATTTTCAGGTGTTTGTTGAGGTTCCTTATTCGTTCACACAAGCTTCCATATACATGATAATAAATAATTACAGACCCAGTAAGATTAATTTAACCTTATTTGCTTTTCTTCATGATAATCATATTCACTTACCATAACGCATATTCACTTACCTGCGTTTAATCAAAAGAAAGGTACATGGTTTATCGGCAGCTTTATGTTGTTGGTCTGTTTTTTCATTAATTTGACAGGAAAGTTTGGACTTTCAATAAATGGGGGTGATTTATAGTTCATCTTCATCATCTTACTAACAATTATGCAAGTTAAAATGAGAGAAAAATGTTATGGGGTGGTTAAGTGACAAATGGACAACTCATAGCGTTTTGAAAACCACAACGTTATAAATTATAATTTCCCCGAGAAAAAAAAAAGAGCAGTATTATAGCATCTCAAACTGAACGTGAAAGCTTGAAAATGGTTCATAACAATGTTAATATGTGGCTCACAATGTTTTCACAAAACTTTTGTTTCAACACAATTTCTAGTTCCGGCGAAAGGTGAGATTAGGATCATGCTTTGGTCAAGCTCGGCGTGAGTTCTCCTATCCAATATGTTCATATTACATTGAAGTTGTCCATAATGTTACTCGTTACTCGCAGGTTAAAATGTGAACTTGATTTAGCCGGTGCCAGAGAAATGGGTAGCAATTGAAATTAGTGCTATCTTGAACTTTACTACACTTGTATTTTCTTCATCAATCGTTGATATATAGATAGTGTGTTCATAAGATAAAAGGATTTTTACATTTAAAATATAAACAATTACAGAAAATAGAAAAATAAGAGACAAAAAAGACTCAAATAGGGAACACTGCTCACTGACGTAGCCGTGCATTTCCATTTCTATACATCAAAATTGAGCTGAAGGAGCTTTCAGTATCTCTTTGGCTACCTTTTCTGGAAGTTTAATTTCCCTATGCAATAGGCAAATAGAGATGCATAAACAATTGGGAAAGCGACGAGAACCACAGCCACAATGTTCAACCGATCATGGTGGAACCCATAATAGTCTTTCAGAAAGGCACCAATTTGTTTTGGCTTCCCAAATATGAGCATCTCCTTGTCAACATCCCCATATTGTGAAGTCAGGAGGCCATTCAGAGACCAAGATGTGGGGCAAAGCCAATAACACCAGACCCACCATTTAGGAATTTTCTGCATACACAAACATAGCCACAATAAGATTAACTGGTGACACAGTCAGTACTCAATACACATAACCGTATAGTACTTAAGCAACAGGTTCAAATTTTTGTTCTATAGAAGACTAATGGGTAGAAGAAATATGTTTTTTCAGAGATTTGGATGGCATTACCGGTCCTGGCATGAGGAATCCAGAGAAAAGATTGAATATGGTGTAGACTGCAGCTGCTAGTATGGAAGCTAAATCGAGGTTCAAGCTCAACGAAACTATCAACATTCCAAGATATATGAAGTACAAAAATGTACAGAATGTGGTGTAGAAGTACCAAAAGACCTTCTCAACCGACCAATAGTAACCTATCATTGGATAAGTGATAGCCACATACACAATAGCTTGCACTAAGATATAGGGTATCTCAATGGTCACCTGCAACAACAGACAATTTTCATGCACCGGATTTTTTCCATACAATAATTATCAATTGAGCTCATTGAACTATTTCCATACCTGTGCAAATGAGTAGGCCATGGAAGAATACATTCCAGCAAATTTTTCACGGTACAAGACCGTGCGCTCAGTTACCACATATGGTAATATTGATGAACAGTTATTTATGCCCAAGAATATTACAGCAATATACATTGATCCAAGTATGTTGAATAAATCCTGCTCATTGTTTCTGGTTGAAAAAAATATGTATCAGCAGTTACGTCATTACAACTTGGAATTTATACTAGCAGCTTGATCTCAAAACTAAGAAATGCTTTCTATAACATACATAGCAAGAGTTCATTGAACACGGTGCAGTATATTAATTGTTTCAGTGGTGAAACAGTGAAGGTTTTGAAAGTACTGATTAGATTGGGACAACACTTTTTTTCCCCCCAAAAGAACTTACTGAAGAAAATAGCCAAAGGTTCTTTCGATTAAATGTTGCTACACTATCTGGAGCTTGAGATTGGATAAGAATTCTGCCAAGACACGTAAAAAAAAATTATATAGCCAAATGTATGAAAGACTTACATTTCCTTCCCTTTCTGCCAAAATACTGCCCCAAATATTACTGCTGCAACAACCATGAACACAAAACGTGTCAAGTTGTACTCAGGACTTCTCCAATAGGACAAGTGTTGCTTCCATAGACATGCTGTAAACTGCCCCAAGTTATTTTGTGGAAAACGAGTTGAGAATTGCAAGTCCTTTGAACCTGGTGGTGGCTCGCTTAACTCTTGTACCAATTCAAGCGTGTTCCTATACGTATAAACAGAAATTTCAAACTTAGGGTTCTTTCACTCTAACTTGAACCAGTATGAACAAACCTGGTAGACTAAAATTATGTAATCGTCTTTATTTTTTAGACAATCATGCTCACCGGCAAAGAGGTGAATCCTTATAGATTTTTGCAAAGTCTACTTTAAGTTCTGCTTCTACAGATGCAGAGGTAGCTTCTAGCATCCAGGTTGCAGGATTATAATTGTCTTTGATCTTTGGCACTCCTGGTATATTCTGATGGAGAAAGTAAAGTTGTTCAGGTGAAAATTTAATAGCTTAATTGAAAGGGTGAGAGACAAAAGTTTTACATCATAATTTATCCAAGAATAATAATTTTTCTTCATTAGGTTTTCATGTAGATGCTTTATCAGGATACTGGAAAGCTTTTGTCCTTCTCTTTAACTTGCACAAGAATATGAAGTCACCTGATACATAACTTTCCGACACATTTTTTTCCAAAAATTTTCTTTGCACACCACTAGTTTAATTTTGGTGAAACTCAAACTTAATTGTACTTCAATTCACATCTCCAACTTATACCAGAAAGAGAAATTAATGACCAGTATAGAAGAATGATTGGTACTTGGAGCATACCTGAAAGTATTCAATGAGTCTGCTCGACTGGTGACCGAGTTTTCCATTATAGATAATCTGTCCCCCTGATTTCATTAGAATCAACTGTCATGAAAAATAACTAAATCAGTTGCTGAACTTCACCTTATCATTGATGTGATTTGAAAAATAACTAAAAATGAAAGACCCCTCCCCCGAATTTTTTCTGATTATAGTATGTATCTAAAAAGATTTTGGGAAAACTTATCAATTTTTTTTTGGGGGGGGGGGGAGCTTGTTAAATTGATAAGTCTTGAAAAGAATAAATGTCATGGTCAGCGCAATGGAGATCAGTGATAGCTTGAGAGAAAACTGGCACATCAATTAAAAATTAAACTAACTGCAATATTTCCAAAATGCGGGAATTTTTCTTGATAAATTATATTTAGAGGTGAGAATGCTGGAATGATGAGGAGTGAACTTGTTGACATGGCCCAACATAACATTTCACACTGTAATGATCCAAAAAAATAAGAAGAAGAAGAAAACACGAGCGGTAAAGCTTAAAAACAGTTGCATGTTGTATGTTTGTCACTAAAGAGTAATGACAGGTTAATAATATGGAAGTCTTGAGATCAGGTTGATATTAATAGGCTTCTTATTCTCAACAATAAGACAGTTTTTTTTTTTTTTTTAAAAACATGAAATCTGGAGTAAATTTATTATTGGGAAGCACTCTTTTGCCTACCTCATCAAAAGTCTCAAATATATCAATGCTTGGTTGGTGTATGGTGCAAACCGTGGTCCTGCCTGTGGCGACCACATTCTTCACTGCACGCATAACTATGGCAGCTGCTCGGGCATCCAAACCTGAGGTTGGTTCATCCATAAAGATTATTGATGGATTGGACACAAGCTCCACTGCGATGGTAAGTCTTTTACGCTGTTCAGTTGATAAGCCGCTTTGGCCAGCTATGCCAACTAAACGATCCTTTATATCATCAAGTTCAATTGTTTCAATGACTTCTTCTACAAATTTCTGCTCAGAAGATATTCAGATAAGCAAAGTGCATCAGTTATCTGAGTCATATAAATTATGGTGAATATGACTACAATTTCTTACCCCTTTTGTGACTGAATCAATCTCCATTGGTAACCGCAACCATGCTGAGTATTTTACAGATTCTTCAACTGTTATATAAGGGGAATGTATGTCAACCTGCTCACAGTAACCTGAAACCCTAGCAAACGTCTTCTGCATTTTGGGGTATCCTCCAATTCTTATATCTCCTTCAATGATACCTCCAGTTTTTCTCCCTGAAAGAACATCCATAAGAGTTGTTTTCCCTGCTCCACTCACTCCCATCAGTGCTGTGAGAACTCCTGGCCTAAATGCTCCAGTGATATCACGGAGCAATTGAAGTTTTTTCTCATTGGACCCATGCTTTTTCATTTCCTGTTTAGAAAGGAAAAAGCAACTTTTTCATTGAAGAGGCTGTCAAGAATATATTAAATCATGAAAACAATTATCTCAGAAAACTCATTAACTGGAGGGGTGTCAACAAAATACTGGACATCCTTGAATACTACTGACAGCGGCTGAAAGGGCAGGACCATTTTTCCTACATGATCAACCATGCACAAAGAGAAGGAAAAAAACAAACTTTAATGATGATTTCAATGTGAAAGCCAATCTTTGATATAATTTTGTGTAGTGGCTGTGTCACCTGTGTTTTGTGTTTCCTTTGAGGTCTGGCTAATGTCAACTGTAACAGACTTATTTTCTAGTTCCACGCTCTTGCCATTTTCTCCTCTTTCTAGTTGAGCGGCCTTTGCTTTGGAAACAAGAGCTCGAGACATCTTTGGAGCTGCATATGTTTTCCATCAAATAAGTACATTGTGAAAAACGTATATATACTTTTTATTTTAGATGAATTAGATAGGACTTACGTTTTAAGTAACTTAATGCTAAGATAAATCCAAATCAAAAAGTACTGTGAAACCAAGCAGTGCTCCAATTGATAGCCAGTAGAAGTTTGCATTGAAGTCTAAACCATGACTAGTTAAAACCTGCCTCCCTATGGCGATGCCTCCCTCTTGAATCTGCAAACCAGAAATAACTTATTTATTTACAAATGACTATGATTAAATTAGAAGACAGACATTATCTTGCAGCTGCAGATACCTTCTGCCAGCGGGGAGCAAGAAACTCATTTATTGTTAATCCAATTTCTCCATATGTCACGGGAGAGAGCCAAAAACCCCACCTCAACCAAGATGGTAATGAAGCTGAAATGAATAAACTCCGTCATTAGCATTTGCTGCAACTTCAATGGGGCAGAAAAAAAAGAAAATTACAAATGAACTTACGTCTAGGAAGAATGAAGCCTCCAAACAAAAACATCAGTACTAAGAACAAAAAACCGACTGTTGTAGCTGCAACATCAGTTTGGAAAACCGGGGCAAGGAAACGGCAAAAGGATGTTGATGTCAAGTGCAGAGTGAAAAGTAGAAGAAACTGACGGAAGAACCTGAATCCAAAAGTTAAAGAAGAATTAGAAAAGCTTATAAAATTTTTGAAACAATTGTGCAATTTGTACATAGGATTAAACAAATTCCTTGCCTTGCCACTTCAGGGCTGTAGCCTATAACGTAATAAGTTACTGAAGTCCAGACAATTGAATCAATAACTGAAAATGGGATCTTCAGAATGGAAGCTGGAAGACAGTAAGCCCATGCTGGATATAGATAGAATTCCTTCTGCTTGTAAACAACAGGAAGTCTAGTAATAGTCAAGATCAGCTCAGCAACTCCATTAGTCATGAGGCGGACAAGTGTGTAGTACAATGAGCCCAGTAAAAAGTTTGCACTCTCTATGTCCTCATTCAACTGAGTGCGTATAAATACTGTCATTGTTATGATTGCTGTGATTGTGAGCTGGAAAATAAGAAAAAGGAAACAAGTCAGATTGTAGTGTTTGATGATTAAAGCATTTCTAGTACCTTTTGAGTTATAAGCAGATGTTAACCTGTGCTGTTTTGAATACATAGATAAAAGAGTTTCGTTTCATGAGAAGAATCTCCCTCCTCATGCAAGCTTTAAACAATTCCCATTTGCCCAAGGAGTACTCGCTAAATGATAAAGCATTTTTATGGGATTGAGATTTATCATATGGCTTTGAGAGCTCGCCATTTAAACTCTGTCCCCAATAACTTTTTTGAAAATTTGAGAGAACTGATCCACTGGAACATAGTTGTAAGGAGTGTCTGCACGATACCAGTATTGCCCTTGATCCTTCTTAGAGGTTACCTGTACATAATTGAAAATTTTGACCAGTGAGGTTATGTGGCTGAGTTAAATAACGAGTGAAATCCAGTTTTCTTTCTTCTTTTTTTTTTTTTGGAGTCTTACTTCCTGGAGAAAGTCTGCTACTCCTTTCCTTTCAGGACACTTGAAACCACATTCCTCAAAAAATTGGAGTGCTTGACTGCACGGGCCATGATATACAATCTTCCCCTCTGCTATCAGTATAAGATCATCAAATAATTCAAAGGTTTCAGGAGCTGGCTGAAGAAGTGAAACCACTGCTGTTGCATCTGTGATGTGCACCAACTGCTGGAGACAGGTAACTATTTGAAAAGTGGTGGAGCTGTCCAAGCCAGTCGATATTTCATCCATAAACAGAGTTTTTATGGGACCAACAATCATCTCTCCTGCAATATTATATGGAAAAATTAATTTCAAAATCAATGAACAGAAAAATTTTCTGTATTATGAACATGTTTATTTCAGCCTGGGCAAACAGTAGCTCTGCATTTTTCAATGTCTAGGAAAGAGAAGGCGCTTCTGCTATATTTTTCTGTTATGAATGAAGCTTTTTAATTGAATAAAGGTTGACATCTGAATCCTGAATATTTGGAATTGAAGCAAAAGCACCCAACAAAGTTTTTTTAAGAACTCCTATATACCTGTTGTAAGCCTTTTCTTCTGTCCACCTGAAATGCCTCTATCTAATGCATCACCAACCATTGCGTCGGCGCAGATATCAAGCCCAAGAACCTACAACGTCAAAAGAATAGGAAGATCTTAATTGAGCTACTTAATAACTTCATTCTGCAATCTTGCTGTGATTGAAAGAGGATGTACCTTCAAAACATAATCAGTTTGCAGATTTTCCTTTTGTCCTTCAACTGATATTGCCTGCACACATTTCATTGATTTTTTTGTCAACTTTCTTTTGCATTATAACATTTTTTTTACCTTATTAATAGTACCTTCATATAGGCATCGATATCTGGGTCAGGGATGATTCCTGCATCTTTCTCTCTCGTTGTGACTTCAGCCAGTATATCTGCATGACCAATTATATATGGAAAGGCCAATTGATACTTTATTATCCAACAGATTATTTGATATATGTTTGTATATCAATAAATAAGAAACCTCACCAGCTCTATCGCCAACCCCCTGGCATTGGGCTGAAAAGTCAATTGTTTCCCTCACTGTCATCTCAGGTATGTGCAGGTCATATTGGCTTATATATGATGATGTTTTTCGAGGAACAAACTCTTCTAGGACGTGGCCATTGTAAGAGACTTCTCCAGTCACCTGAAGAGAAGCAAAAGCAGAAAAATGTCACAGGGACTATAGAATGTGCCAATTGAAGAAAAATTTACGCTTTAGACAAGTCTCTGAAATACTGCAGTCCTGGATGAAGAAGGATCAAAAGCATTGCCAGTCATATCCTTCTCTCTTGGTTCAAGCTATGCTTGAAGATGTTGACTTCAAATTTTAGCGATTCTGAAAATAAGTTACTTGAACCGTTTGATAGTGACTGATGGTCCTAGAATTTAACTCCGTTTAGGTTTTTTTTTTTCCCTTTTGTTTTGTTTTTTTTTTTTTTTTTTTGTTAAAATACTAACCCGGAGAGATTGCTCAAGTTTTCCAGCTAGTGCCAAAAGCAAGGTCGTTTTCCCGCTGCCAGGTGGGCCAAGAAGAAGTGTAAGCCTGCACTCAAAACCATTTTTGATCAGTTGGAAATTCAGTCACTCTTATTGAAGTTAGTCTTCTAATTAATTCTTCAATGTTTTCCTTGATAGCATATGGGACGAAACCAGCTTACACTCAAGTGTTATCATCTTTCCTATTCACTTAAACCTAGTGCTTCATCCAAATGGAAAACCACCGTAACAACTAACAAAACTTTTGTTTCCTGAATATTTTAAGCGTCTAAAAATGAAAGTGCTCTGCAACACATCAATGCAATTGAGGAAAGATTCATGAATATAAGCAAACTTATTATATCAATATCTAATTATCAAAGGAATCATATTATGCTGTAAATTGCCACACACAAAAGTCATATTCAGTTATTAATTTACCTTGATGGCTTTATGATGCCACTTACATCCTTAAGAATGCTTATGTTGGTTCCTTGAGAAGTACAAGGTACTGCCTTCGTAACACCCTGTTCAGGTAATAAACTTAGCTCATTATTGCATGCAGAAAAACAAAATTAAAGTTATCTTTGTTGAATAACATATGGTGTTTAATATCACCCGTTTTTGCATGATAATGGCCTGCTTATTTCAATTAATAGGTTCAACGATAAAGCATACTTACTGAAAAGAAGCCAACAAGAGAGTTCCACAGTGTAGGGAGTGGCTTTCCCTGTACAACCTCACATTCCGCTTCTACATGCAGGTTCTTGTACCTGACTTCCACAGTAGGAACCTTCACATTCACTCTAGAAATGGTAAATATCTGTCAATTCCTTTTCTTTGGGGGAAAAACTCAGAGCTGAATAAAGGGGAACCCGTAGATAAATGAAGTGGAAACAAATAAAGAAAAGGAAAGAATGAAGATTTTAGATTCCATAACAGAATGGTAGATGAAGTGATTATTGTCAGAACTAGAAAAACCAAGGCTTTATCAATCAACATGAAAACATGTCAAGAGTTTTTTTTTTTTTTTTTAATGGAGAAAACATGTCAAGAGTTATTTCAACACAGAATTAGCTTGAAAGCATGTCACACCGGGAAAAAAAATATGAAAAGTTTTGAATCATATGCTGTATCAAAAAGTAACCCCTTTAGAGAAATAGGGTACTCTACTCTATTTTCAGCATGTTAAGAACAACAGCAGGCACCTCTCGATCCTTTCTCTTATTTTGTGCAGTAACTGGAGATTATCATTCTCAATGTGCTTTATGAGCTTGTCGATCAACAAACGCCTGTCAAGTGCTCCAAGTTTAGTAACATCAACGACCCTTTTACTGTCTGACCTCAATTGTCTTCTACTCTCTGACTTTAAATTGACGCTACTGCTGCTGGTTTGCCCACCATCATCTTCAATCACATCAATAAACGAAGTTCTAATCCTTTTGAAAGTGGGCAGTTTTTCTATGGCAGCCCACTTCGACAGAATCTCCCTATCTTGCTCCAAAACAGAATCTGCATCTCTGTCAATGCTCAAAGTCAAAGGAGAGTGCTGGGTTCTTCCTCTTGGGGTTAACTCCATCAGAATTTATCAACCGGGTCTTTCTTCAAACACCTAGTGAACACCCTTGAAACACCCAAGTCTGAAGCTTTTCACATACACGATTCTGAGCAGAGATCCCCTGGAACTTGATTCTCTTATTACAGATCACGAAGAGGGGTGTGAATGGAAAGAACCTGCAAGCTCCTCCTCTATCATTGGGAGAACTTCCTGAACTTGTCCCTGTGTGTGTGTGAGGTGGCACGTAAGGATTTCGCATTTTAACGGGAAAGGAAACTTGAAAGAATCAAATATGGTCATTTTGACTGTCAACTGTTCATCTAGTTGCCATGATAAGAGCTGTATTTTTTTCCTTCGTACAAGGGGTAGTTGGAGCTGCGCTTGATTTATTGGTGCTTCCTCCTTTTGCATTAAAAAAATCATATTGCTTCTTCGGATGTGTTTGGATGAAACCAAATCATAGTTTGGAGAATAGTTTCTGAAGAATAGATTCTGAAAAAAATAGATTTTGTGAAAAAGTGATTCTGAGAAGTGAGAGTGTTTAAATAGTTGTTATCAGAAACACTTTTTATATGTACAAATTATTTAAAAAAGCATAAGGTAATATAATAATTACATAAAACATAGATTGTATGATATATTTTAATTAGAAAGAATAAAATTGTTAATAATATATTTTTTTACCAACATAATTAATAATACATAAGATAATATAATTAATAAATAATTAATATGTGTATATTTATTTATAAGATATAAGATTAAATATGTTTATAAAAAATTAATTAAGGGGTGTTAAAGTCATATTATTGTTGAGATTTACTCTAATAGGCATAATCATACTCTCCAATTTAAGCCATAAGCAGAATGGATTCACTTTTCCCAAAACCATGGTTTCAGATAATTTGTGCTTGTTTTGGTTGTTTTTTCCCAAATCATAGTTTGGCCTGCTATCCAAACAGGGCCTTCATTTGTTTTCTGATGTACTATAGCTTCTTCATTTGTTGATCTGGCTCAAAGTCTGTGTGTGATTATTTTATTAACTAAATCTAGTGCTTTTCTTCATACCATCATGCTTGAAACATGGATCAGTTTGAATTTGGAGCCACCTTAATCAATCACCCAATAATCACCTAAGGGTTATTTTCATGCATTTTTTATATTGGAACAGAAAATAATAAAAAAATTAACTATATTTATCTCAACATGTTTTGAACAAGATTTTGAATTCAAGCTTCCAAAATTTAAAAAAATACATTGAGAAGGCTGCCGAAAAAAGAAATAATTGTATTTGGGTTCTAAATATTAGTAACGTATGGAAGATATCTTAATTGGTGAAATATTCACTAATTGTCTGACGTAAGTTTGGAATAAATAAATTGAAGTCCCTAACGGTTTAATGCTGTGATCCACAAATTCTTTAGTTTAGTGCTAAAACAATCCCCCGTTTTCGTTTTCGCCATCCCTGGGACGTACGTAACTGGAAATGTCGTCACTGCCCACCGTTGAGATCAAGGGTAAAAACGTAAAATAGATTCGACTGTTGCTTTTTTAAACAAAAAGTGGTGTCTTATTAAGACTTCGAGAGAGGATCAATTGGTCATTACACGTACATCTAATCAGAAAAAAATTGACGTATCTTGTTTGTATAAAATGAGAATAGATACATGAATTCTAAAAACCGCACCTAACTTGAGGGGTCACTGCTTTTAATGAGAAGCCTCCAAAAGATACGATCGAAGACCCTTGGCTCTTATTATTTGGCTGGTCCAATTCAACGATGTAAAAAGAAGAATTTTTATAAAAAAAAAAAATATAATCAAATCCTATAAAAAGAAAAAAAAATAACAAAACAAATCTTATAGGTTGTTATTTTTTATTGTAAGGCTTATCATTACAAGCTACTTAGATTGTTATTAAAACCTTTTAATAATTATTTCTCTTCTATGATATTTGATTGTATTTCTTTTTTTTTATAAAGTCTCAAAAAATCAAATTAACTTATCCTTTTTAAGTAATTTATGTATAAACAAATATTTTCATTCCAACTATTCAGACATTTTATATTAAAAAAATTAAAATTAAAATTAAATATATACAATCAAAAAAATTTAAGAGAAACTGCGCTCTTCTCTGGGATCTATAGGGGGGCTATGCAATAAAAAAACAAAGTCAAATCGTAGAACGCAGACATTTGTGACTAAAGAAAATCTTTTTATACACACACACACACATTGGTTGTCTTTTTTATTGATTACTAGTATTGTTTTTTTTTTCACATTGCTCATTACAACTGGAATCCACACAGTTTTAATCATAGCAGTAGTAGCTATAATCATTAGGCTGAATTATAATTTATCATCTGTAATTTTGCCTTTTGGTTTATGGACTAGCTTTGAACATTTTAAATGTTTAAAAAATGCTTCATTTCAGGGGGGAAAAAAGGAAAATTGGTGAAAGATAGAAAAGGAGAAGTTCATTTGATATTTACAGTACTTCTTCAGTTATTAATATAATATCTATTTTATTAATTTGATTAGATTAAGGAAGTTGGGTAAGTTAGTTAATTATAAGAAATATGATATGTTTTTCTTAAAATACCATAATCATCTTCCTTAATTCCTCCCACCTTTTTCTATTTGATTATGGTTAAGAAAGTATCCATAGGAATAATTTAAAAAAAATTGATAAATATAAAAAATAAATCTTATATTTAGGATCAAAATTAACTTAACAATTAGATTTTGTATTAAAGATCATAACAGTATTATTTTTTGAGAGCATAATAATTATGCATGGGGACATTCAAGGTCCACCCGGCGGCTGCTTGAGCATTAAGAAATATATAATATTGTTAAAAAAACAAACAACATGTGTTCCTTTTGTCTAAAGTCACGGCTCAGCATTCACATGAAGCTGAGGATTTTATTGCATACAATACTATTTTAAAAATAATAATAAAGAGCATATTGTTATCTAATCCACCAATCTTAAAAATTGTTCTACTTTCATGCCAAAAAAAATTTTCCTTTTAATATTAATTTGATTTTGGAGATTTAGCTAAATTTTATGTGATGTCTCTTTCATTTTCAACTTTCACTTGATTCTTTTTTATTTTTTATATCAATAAAATATATTTTTAAAAATCAAAATTCTAATTTCATGATGCGTCAAAAATTAAATTTGTTGAAATACTCCGGTTTGAGCTTTGCAATCAGGATGACTCTTTTTATTTTTTATTTTTTAATGGTAAACAAGGCCGAATTCTTTTCACCTATTTTGTGATCTAGTTGATCTATTGCTACTTTGCTAGATAAATACCCTTAGATTTTTGCAGTGCTTTCTTATTGTAAATAGCTTGACATGAAAAAGAAATTATGACGAGCTTCATCCTTGGAGAGATTAACTTTTTTTTTATCATCAAACAAACTTGCAAATTTTCAATTTTCAATTTCTGACTGAATAATAATCATATTCAATCTATAAAATAACTTTAGTATTTTTAATGGTAAACAAGGCTGAATTCTTTAAAAAAAATGACGTAAAACAGCAACAAGGTTGAATATGCAACATTTCAAACTATAGCATTAAAACTTTTCCTCTTTTTTTATTTTTTTTGGAGTAGACTTTTCCTCTGTTCTAATAATTCGTGGTGAGAAATATTAATAAAAACAAAAAATTTCATTTTCAAAGGGTAGAAAAATAGGAAAAGATCTTTTAATTGACTGGAACAGTTTCTTCTTCGTGTTTACGTATGTAAGTATGATTAATCTCACTGTCAAAGCTTTCACGTCGTTTTCTCCACAGCTTTTCTGGGTCATAAAAGCAGAGTCAATGGGGGGACATAAGTCCATAACTAAAATCTCATTTTTCCATTACTTTTCCCTTAATGAGTGCTTTCTTTGAAGATTCCATTTGTCTCAGTTTTCTTTTTATATATATATTTTTTCATTGTTCATATTCAACTTTCGTCACCTAACTTTGGATTAATAGTAGCCCCAACTTTGCCACCCAATACACGTTAGGGAGAAAAGTTAATTACACAAATGACCCGTCAGCAGATCCTATGAAAATCTAATTCAACTTTCATAAAGAAGCATGCGATGTGAGATTTTATTACAAAGAAAGAGATAAACTTCCCCAAAACAACCACGAATTATTAAAGAGAACTTCATAACTTGTTCCCAATAGATACTTGTGGTATTAATGGATTCCGCGAAGATGAGGGGAAGACATGGGTTGGTGGCTGTTTTGTTTTTAAGTTAAACCTTTGTTAAAAGTAGATATTGGTGCAAACTTTAATGTCCATTATCGATGTCTTAAGGATGATCCCGTTCATACTTCTTTTGATTAAAGAGGAATCAAAGATTATGGTGCTTCTTTGATTATGTTGTTAGAGCCATTTTATGGATTGCAATTTTTTTTCAAGGATAAATAACATTTGATCCATTTATGTTTTACAGGAGGAAATCATTTTTTTTTAATTAGAAGAGTGTTCCTATCAATGGCAAAGGCATAACAATGTAAGTCAATATAAATTAAGTTTACCAATAGAAGTTTGGTCTAATAAAAAAAGTTAGTTTCTTATAATGTGGTGAAGCAAAATTCAAATCTCTATTAGAAGAAATGTTTACATTTGCTGTCTAACAGTATCTTGAACAAGATTTCCTCTAATAAAAGATACTTACACCTACCAAAAAAAAAAGAGTGAAATTCTTTTTATTCCCTTTGGGAATACGTGAACATGAGCTGAAGACATGAATTGATGGCTATTTTGTTTTTAAGTTGAACCTTTCAAAAAAGAAGTTGATATAAACTTTACTGTCCATTATCAATGTCTTAAGAATGATCCCTTTCATACTTTTATTTTTGTGCAGAGGAATCAAGGATTATGGTGCTTCTGATTAAGTTGTTAGAGCCAATTTACGGAGTGCAATTTTTTTCACGAATAAATAGAATTGAATCCATTTATGTTTACAGGAGGAAAGCATATATATACATACACACATATTTTAAATAAGAGTAGTGTTCCTATCAATGGCAAAGGCATAACAACGTAAATTAATATGAACGAAGTTTTGTTTTCTGGCATTAAAAATCAAGGATTTGTATATATCTCTTCAGTTTCCATAATTCCCATGTTCTCTTTGCCATTTCATTCAGCATACCATTCTGTATCATGAGTGACCGGTACATTCTAGTCAGCATTCTATTTAAGGCACAACATGGCCAGCTTTAAGGATCACGGTCTTACAAGGTCATAGGTTCTCACCCAAACACGTGGATGATAACCTATCTCTATTCAACCAACCAGATTCAAACAGAGCAGACAAAGTTATCAGAAAACTATGCCTCATCACACAA